ATGCCACGGAGCCACTAAACCCGTGAGCCGCGACTACCGAGCCTGTGCTCCCTTCTCTTCCACAGGAGAAGCCACTGCAATGAGAAGCCCGCACACCGCAACTAGAGAGTAGTCCCCACTCTCTGAAACCAGAGAAAAGCCTGTGCAGCAACAAAGACCCAGCACAGCCCAAAATAAATAATTAATTTAAAAAGAAAAAAAGACTGTCACTGTTAAACTCCCAGACAGAACAGGCCACATGTTCCACGTCTAGACACCTCCCGCCAGGGCACTGGTGTGACATTTGGAGTAAAGGGACCTTCTAAAATATAGAATGGAAGGAGTGGACTGTTTACAGGTAAAATGCAAATTTGGGTAGTATCACTTTAGGGGACTCTCAGGTCAATCTTCTAAGCTTGTCTAAGAATCTCAGGCTAAGAGCGCCAGAAGTTAGGGAGGGGTGGACACACTTGTTCTGTAAAAGGCCACAGAGTAATAGCTTAGGCTTCATGGGCCATACAATTTCTGCTATAGCTACTCAACTCTGCCCATGCAGCAAGAAAGCAGCCATGACATTATGTAGACACATGGGCGTTGTCTGTGTTTCAATAAAACTTTATTTACAAAAGCAGGCGGTGGGCCAGATTTGGCCTGTGGACCAGAGTTGGTCAACCAGTGGTCTGAGTTTATCCTGAGCCCCTCTTCACAATTATTACAGCTGTTTGGACCAAGCAGATTCTACCTGACCAGGAAGTTATGAGACTCCATCATCTAAGCACCCTCTGAAAGGGTAGAAAGTGATCCAACATGTATTGAGTACCAACTAGGTGCTGGGCATTTAACATAAACCATTGGGAGCATGTTCCTGTCCCAAAGTCATGAGCTGCTCACAGGGATGAGCCCATTGTTCCCAGTCAACCTATACTGGCTCTTCGGGTTCAGGGAATTCTTTTTTGTTTTGTTTTGTTTTGTAGTTTTCTGCTGTTTGTACCTAAGGCACGTGCACAGTTATCTCGCTGAGGCAGGAGTCAAGTATTCATTTAGCTGGTGGTTACAGAGTTAGTGTCCATTCTCCAGCAGACTGGATCACAAGGGCAGGGTCCCTGACAGCTGACCTTCGTCTCTCCAGCACCTGGCACAGTATAGACTCTTAGTGGATAGGTATTGAGTGAGTGAATGGATTTGCCCTTGAATGATGAGTCGGGGCCATGAGGGTGGGCTTAGGTGGTCCCCCAGAGATTTCACCCATGGCACTGTCTCATCACCTCTGGACAGCACTCTGCCATTCTAAACTGGCAAATGTGGCCCTTCTGGGTGGCAGCACATCTGTAGCCCTGGGAGGGAACTGAGCCTCACACATCTGGGGAGGGTCCCCAGGGCAGGGCACAGACAAAGGGAGGGCTACAGCTCCGGAAAGTCAGCAGGGCTGCCGAGGACAAGTCCCGGCCTTCAGGAGCCTCACAAAGAGGACTGTTTGGGCCAAGAACAAGGGGAGATGTGTCCTGCAGCCACCGCCAGAGGCAGGATGAATGGTCCCAGGCAGTGGCCGGCTGTTCTCAGCTCCTGCCTGGCCTCCGCCTATACCTCTCCCTGACATGGGGAATGCCGAGGCCGCCCCCACCGTAGAGACTTCAGTCCAATTCATAATTTTCCTTTCCTAATTAGGCCCAGGAATGATGGAGACAGTTATTAATAATGTATCAGGTTTTATTTAGTGCCCTCCTCAGGAGCCGAGCCTGAGAACTGTGTATCTTATGATAAGCAGCCACGCTGCCACCATGCTGGGCTCTGTGCCCGGGATGCCGGGTGGAAATAAATCAGAGGAGTGAACGTCCCATGGAGCTTGGGGAACCGGCTGGGACTCACAGATGGAAGGGCCTGGTGCCCCTCTCCAGGGCTTCACCCCTCCAAGCACCAGTGGAGAAACAGATTTGGCGCGCCAGCTGCCTGTTCCCCGTCCCTTCCATTGTGACCTAGGCCAACCCAGAGAGGACTTCTCTATGGGGCTATCCCCTCCCCTTAACCTTGCAGGACTCAGCCAAAATGCCACCTCCTCAAAGAGGCTTCCCCACAGCCCAAGGTGACACTCATCTCTCCTTTCCACACGCGGCATTGTTCCCTCTGGGTTTGCTTACTCACTTGTTTTTCATCTGTGTAGCAGTTACGGGTCCACCCTGGAGCCAGATGTCTGGGTTCAAACCCCAGCTCCAGCACCCACCCAAGTGAGGCTGGGCGCCTTCATGTGATCACTTTCTGTGTCTCAGTTCCTGCCTCTGGTCCTGAGTTCACCCCACAGGTGTGCCCTCAACCCCTTCACCCTGCGTTCACTTCATCATACATGCTGGGCAAACCTGGCTTCCCCTCGGCAACTGACGGCAGCTGGGCAAAATGGCCAACCTGGAACTGGACTCGATTTCACATCCCTGGTCCTTTAAGCTCCTCCCTTCCCCAGCCAGTCACTCACCTGCCCTCCTAGAAAACCAGATCACACCTTCTCTGCTCCCTTTGAACACCCATCACCTGTCCTTCATCCTTCTCTCAGCTGCTGACCTGCCTCCCTCTTCGCTGAGATGACTGACACTGTTTGAAGGCAGCTTCCACCGATTCCCACCTGTCAGCCACCCCCTCCCTCCCCCTACCTTTCCTCCAGGGCACAGCATCCCCACCGGTGCTCGCCGACCCTCCCCTGGGTCACACCCACCAGCACACAAACGCTCCACTTCCCATCTTAGAATCCTTCCCTTCCACCATTTCTCCCCCCAGCTATGGCTGCATGTTGTTCTTCCCTTTTGCAACAAAACTCCACCAACAAGCTGTGCACACATGCTGTTTCCCTTTCCTCTCGGCATATTCTCTCCAATATGGCCCCAGTCAAGCCTCTTCCACTGCTCCTGCAAAACCACCTCTATGATGGTCAACGGTGACCACCATGTTGCTCCATCCAGCAGTCGGCTCTGAGATGCATGGCGCTTGTCCTTCAGCCACAATGGGCACAGAGGCGCTGACCATCCCCTCCTCCTCGACGTCCTTCCCTGACTCGGCCACAGGACTCCACCGTGCCTTGGCTGGTACCCCTGCTGGCCTCTCCTCCCGGCCTCCTTGGCTGCCTCCTCGTCTGCTCCTTGGCCTCTTCACGTGGGGCCCCTCGGGGCTCAGGTCTAGACTGTCTGCACTGCTCTATCCATGCTTTTTCACTTGACGATCTCACGCCATCTCAGGGATTGTGCTGACAGTCCCCAAGTGCGTTCCTTCAGCAGAGCTTTTGCTTCTCAACCCAGAATCTAGATCCCACTGCTGGGTTGCCTTCTCCCTCACGTGTGCGATGGGAATTTCAGACTTCACCCCCGACCTCCACACCCAGCAAGCCCCTGCTGCCCCAGCTTTTCACATCCTTCCATGGCAGCTCCATCCTTCTGCATGCTCAACCTCAAATCCTTCCAGTCGTTCTTAACTCTTCTCTGTCTCTAACACCCACATCCACGTTTTCAGGGACTCTACCTTCCAAACATACTCAGAATCTACCTTATCTCACCACCTCCAGAGCTGACACCCTTGTGAGTCACTGTCAGCTCTCTCCTGGGCTATCAGCAGTATCCTCCCAGCTTCCCACACTCCCCATCACACACACACACGCGTGCGCACGCATACAAACACACATGCATACAAACGCACACAGTCTATAGTCTAAACACAGAGTGATTGAGCCGACACGTAACTCAGACCTCATCACCCTCTCTCCAGCCCCGCTGGGCACCTCGTTCTTAGTGTAAAAGCTCAAACCCTTCTCACAGCCTCAATCCTGAGCCACCGTTTCCTTTTGTCCTCCCCTTGCCCACGACACACCAGGCCTGCAGTGACCTCAGGGCCTTTGCTCTGACTCTTCCCTCAGGTACTGGTGTGATGAACACCTTCACCAAATCCCAGTCTTTGGCCAAAAGTCACCCGTGAAGGTCACTCTACTTTACACTGTAATCCACCCAGCACCCCAGCCCCCCCAGAGCTGCTCTGTCTGGGGATAAAGAGGACATGGCAGTGTCCACGAGGAAAAGAGGCCTGCCTGTTTCCATGCCTCTCCTTGAACAGCAAGGAGACAGTTGTGGAAGCGCCCAGCAGACGTTCCCCCTCACGTCACTGGCCAGAACTGACCAAGGCCTCCTGAGTTTCCATAGACCAGTGATCTCAGTCTACAGTGAACAAAAGCCAGGAATGCTCAGCTGTGGCCTCCACAGCCCAGCTGGTGAGATCAGGAAGGGGGGTCCTGGGCCAGATTTGGGAGGCAGTGGAGACCAGGAATAGGATGGTGGGCAGGGTGATGGACGAGAGAGACCCCCCATTCCAAGCAGCCCCAGTACAGCCCTGCTTCCCAAGAACACTACCTCCTCCCTGCTCTGGACTGGGTGCCGGGACCCACGTTCAGGCTGCAGGGTGGAGAGGGAGCGCCGCTGAGTTCTGGAAAAGGTGGGGTGCGGAGGCTCCCCCAGGAGCCAGGAATTCAGACCTGCTGGCTGTTACTGGTCAACCAGGGGCTTCCTGCTCTGAGAACCTCGGGTCTGGGGAAGGCATGAGGAAGACGTGAAAAAGGGGCTCTCTGTGGTGCACCCAAAGCCAGATTGCCATTGGCAGAGGACAGGGGGAAAGACCCCCTGAATTGAGGTGCAAAGGATCACTATTTTCATGTGGGCCGACTCAAAGGAGACTCGTCCTTTCTCTGCTGAAGTGGAGGCTCATTTCAGGGGTTTGTATAAAGCACCAAGATCTGAGCCTGTATCTGCGGTTTAAAGCCGGGCCACACACTCTGGCATCTTTGGGGAGGAAACGAGTGAGGGCCCCACTCCGAGCTGGCCCAGGCGGGCGGCTGGACGCCCCTGGCACAGGCCTCCCCACGGAGGCTGGGTGCCCATGAATGGAGAGCAGTGGCCTGAGTTGGTCCCTTGTGTCCAGAGACAATGGGCTCTGTGTGGGGGCGGGGCATGAGGGGGGCCCCGCCCTGAGCCCTCCTTCCCCCCAGTGGACTTGCAGCCTGTGTCAAGCAGCCCAGCAGAGAGCTGGGGGCCCCGGGGCAGTGAAGGGAAAAGACCGTGAAGGAACTGCAAACCCAGGTCCTTCGTGGTCCTTGGGGGCAGCACATGAAGCAGGGCTGTGGGGGCCTGAGGCCCAGATCTGCCCCCCACCCCCTGCCTCAGGTCCTCCTTTGTCTGAAGGGTCTGAGGACCAGGTTTTGCCATCACACAAGTGTACTGGCAAAGTTCCTGGACCCCTTGCTGTCTTCATGAACCAGATAAAACCAATGGGTGTTTAGGTGAGCAGACTGAGGCAGAGCGAGAGAACACATCCTCTTCATTGCTCTTCAGACACTCCATCAACTTGCAGCAGATTCTGAGACATGATGGACAGGGTCCTCAAGGTCTTCCGGGTGAGCAGGAGAGCATGGACCCAAGAGGGAGCCCACCCACCCTGAGGGCCAACTGTGCCCCGAGACTGTCCCTTGGATCGACGCTGTGTGGCCCCCTTGGCATCTACTCCCAAAGTCCACCCAGCCCCTGACACCCGAGGCTGGCAAGTCCCTGGCCATGTCGTGAGGCTGGTCGTGAGGCTGACTTCAGTTTCCACAGCAAAGGCTGAGTGTGTCCACTGTGGTTTAAGAAGCAGCTTCACAGACCTTAGCCCCTCGAAGGAGACGAGTCTCTGTGGCTCGAGGGACCCTACACAAGCCGCCCTCGGCGGCTGTGATCTGCCTGGTGGGCTGGGAGCTGAGTCGCAGCTCTCTGTGAGAGTCACACCTCCTCCCCTGGCCATGACCAAGGTCAGCTCCTGGGCATCAGTCGGGCAGCCTGGCCATGAATCGCCAAACTGTGAAAGTTAGAGACATCTAAAGATGCCCTGCATGCCCGTGGCGTTACCAGCAGGGCCTGGTACTCAGGCTGCACTCAAGAAATGGGGGGCCAGGTGAGCAAGGGGCTGGCCTCTGCAGGTGGCCACGTGTGGGTCCAGAGGCTGAGACACGGATAAACCACAGCCTCCATCTCACAATGGTTTCATCGACTCAATGGACAAGAGCTCAAGCAGACCCCAGATGCTGAAGGACAAGGAAGCCTGGCGTGCTGCAATCCATGGGGTTGCAGAGTCAGACACAACTGAACAACTGAACAACCACCACAACCTCACAATGGAGACATCAGGTTAATACGAAGAACACAGCTCTCACTCCCTTCTAGAAATCCTAGAAAAATATCTTTCTGGACTAAGGTTGTTTCCTCCTAATGTGCTGTTCCTTTGATTCATTCGTGCCCCACTTGATTCCTTCCTTTCAATCAGATACCTCCAATGCACAGCCAGTGCTGAGGACGATATGGAAGTGGCCCATCCCAAGTCGAAGGCAAACATGTGCTGAGTTCGCCGTGAGTGCTGTCACAGGCACACCGGGTTCCAGCCCCAGCAGGTCCCTGGCTGTGTCCCCACTGCAGAAGGGGGCCGCAGAAGCAGCCTCAGGGGTGGTGCTCAGCAAATGCTGGTGCTGCTCCTGGTTCCCTCAAGAACACTGTCTCTGTCATCCCATTTGATAGTCAGAAACACCCCGGTGAGGGATACAGGGGAGGCGCTTGAGCGCAGGGGACATCATGCGGTTCCCCCGTGACACCAGACTTCAGGCAGGTCCACCCATCCCGACAGGAATCTCCTTGGTCTGCTCAGCGACCGTGATGTGTGATCAGATGGGGACATCTGAAGCGACCCCCTCCCAACTGCTTCTTTTCCAGACACTTGTGGGGGCATCTTGGCCTCTTCTCCATTTCTTTTCCAGCACTTGCCCCAGCATGTAATTATCTATCTGTGGGCGGAATTACTTGTGTGCTGTTGGCTCTGTCTGCTCTTCCGGAAGTCCCCTTCGGGGACTCTCATCTGTCTTGCTCCCTCCCAGCCCAACTTCCCTGATGTTCTGAGTGGGCTGGACTGGGGTGGGGAGGGTCTCACCCTTCCAGGACTGATATTTGGGACCTGTCTCCCAGCAGTAAGCTAGAGAAGCCATAGAGCTCACCTCCTTCAGATTTTTGGGTTTTGGGGAGAGCTTTTCTTGGCTGTGCCACTTGGCTTGCAGGATCTCAGTTCCCCGACCAGGGATTGAACCCGGGCCATGGCAGGGACAAACTGGGACCCTACCCACGAGGCCACCAGGGAACTCACCTCCTTTGTTTCTTGTCTCTCAAGGATCTGCCTTTTGTTACCTTGATGTCCACTATTTGGAAAACCATTTTTATATTTTTGGTATATTTTTGAGATGTTTCCCAGATGGGGTATAATGGTGCCAAGTCTGGCCCTTGTTACCCCATCTTGGCCAGAAGCAGAAGTCCCAAATATGAGCTTTTAATGATGCATTTCTTGACTGAAAAGACAGCAACTCCATTGATAGAGTGAAACTCTGCCCATGTCGTTCTAAATCGCTCTCTTGATGCCAGCCTCATTATCTTTACAGGCATCAGGAGTGTTTAATGAATGCAGCAGACAAAGCCCCATTGAGTTCCAGGAGAGAGGGTGTCGTGACCCCTGAGATATCATGACAGCTCCTGCCTTTCTGTCTTGTTTGCTGAATCTTGGCTGAGAGCGAGGCGGGTGACAGAGGAGGCAGCGCTCTGGCAGCCTCATGTCTGGGAATTCACACTCTGGTGGCCTCAGCCTCCTCCGTCTGACCACCTGCCTCTCACAAGGCTTCACCCCTCTCCCTTGAGCCCTGGCGCCAAGTGGCTTCCTCTCCTTGGCCACAAATGACCTTGACCTTGCACAGTAGCACTTCTGGGTCTCTTCTCTCGGAGACTGCTGGCTCCTTAAGCGAGGTGATCAGATTTTGGGCAGCTGGCGTTAAGATCTGGGAAGGGCACAGTTGACATCCAATTCATCCTTGTACTCCCAGCTCCCAGCACGCTACCAGGCACAGAGGGTGCTTGTTAGTAAATGTTTGGTGGATGAACAAATGAATGAAAACCTTCATGATTCTATTTTCTTGACTATGCACTTGCCCACAGGGTAAAGAGTCTTGTCTAGACAGACTGGAAAGCAGGAGAGGCCACACCCAGTGGGAAAGAAGTTTGGGCAGGGGTGAACCTGGCCTGCAGCCTAAAGATCCAGTGTCCTCATCCTGGCCCCTGCGAAAGCTGTTTGATGCTGCGCCTCACTCAGTATTTATTTTCTTTTCTGAAGTGACCCCTCCTAGCCTTCCTCTCGGGCTTCTTAGGTGGCGCTGGTGGTAAAGAACCCGCCCGCCAATGCAGGAGACATTAAGAGATAGGGGTTCCATCCCTGGGTCAGGAAGATCCCCTGGAGGAGGACATGACAACCCACTGCAGTATTCTTGCCTGGAGAATCCCATGGACAGAGGAGCCTGGCGGGCTACAGTCCATGGGGTCGCACAGAGTCAGACACAATTGAAGCGACTTAGCACGCACACACGCAGCCTTCCTCTGACTCCAGCATCCCCTGATCTTCTCTAATATAAAAAGAATGAGTCAAGCAGGGATAAATAAGGATGCATTCTTTGAACACAATAGCTGTTTTCTTGGCAAAATCCACGATTTATATCTTGGACTGTTTCACAGAACACCTCCCTCTTTTCATATCTGGTAGTATTTTTGCCTGGGGTGGCTTCCTCGCATGTAAGCGGTGAGTAATATTCACACTGCTGAATATTAGCAAGGAACTCTCTGCAGAAGGACCTTCTCGAACAAACCTTCCTGCTTTCGGCATCAGTTGTGCTTGAAAACAAGTCAGCAAGAAGCAGATTCTCGCCTCATTAATATCGAATACAAAGAAAAGAACATCAAGAGAGGCACTCTGAAATTTAGCATCTAATTCCAAATGAAGTTTAGAATCAACTTGTCCTTCGGTTTCCAGTGGATGGAATTTCTCAACAGGGGCCCTGGTGGGCTTTTGGAGGGACAGTTCTACCAAGTGTGGGAGTGTTTGGCTCATTGTTGCTAACATCCAAAGCCGTTGGGTGATCAAAAACAGCCCCTCCCACCCTTGCCATCAAAGATTTCCAAGTGCTTCCTGGGGAGGGGTGCTGTCCCCACTGAACCCACTCTCTGCTAGACAAATGCCCCAGCCTTGGCAACGCTGGGTAAACTGTGGGCCCCTGATGTGAGCATCCCACGGGCTGCAGGCCTGGCCCTGGAGACCGGCCCAGAGGTGTCGCAGCCCAAGGTAGAACTGACAGAAACCAAAATTGCTCCCCTTGGCAGTGAAAATGCAGACCATTTGGGGTTGGGACCCTGTGTATCTGGCTGCTCTCCTGATTCTCTAGCTATAACCAGTGCTGCAGGCAAGATCTGTACCCAGTCCTCTAGGGAGACTCAGGCAAGCCAGGGATACCCCACGATGAACAATTTGGGGGAAGGATTTCGTTTGATATTTCACAGAAAAAGCACTGAAGAAGTTCATCACAGGGGAAATGGGAATCCTTTTGGATTACCTCTCCCTCATTCTACAGGTTGTCTTTTGAATTCTATATTCTTTAATTATTTACTTATCTGGCAGCGTTGGGTCTTAGTTGAAGCATGTGGGCTCTTCATTGTGGTGCACAGACTTCTCTAGTTGCAGCTGGCGGGCTTAACTGCACCCTGTCATGTAGGATCTTAGTTCCCCAACCAGGGATGGAACCCACCTCCCCTGCAGTCCAGGGCTGATTCTTAACCACTGGACCACCAGGGAAGTCCCTTTCTACCTTTTCAGTGTTAGGGCTTCTAAAGGCCTGTTTTTACCCAGGCTGACAGTCATGTGGCTCAGTGACATCCTCGTCCCAGTCAGTTCTTAGGGAACATTTCTCTATCTGCTTGGTCTCAGTGAGGATCTCAGCTCCGCCTCTGGTGACCCTGGTTTCCGTTAATGGAGCTTTAGCACCTGGTCCCTGAGAAGCACATAAAGGCTTCCCGGATCTCCTAATCCAGCTGCAACAAAGCCACAAAATCACTCCTCTCTCTGCATCTTTCCTTGTTCCGAACAAGAGTACAAGGGCTTGGGTAAAACAACAGAGCAGTTCCTTACGAAGCTAATCATACACACACCATAGGGCCTATGATCCCACTTCTAGTTATTTATCCAAGAGAAATGTGAACAAGTCTATACCAAGAAAGCATGTCTATACCCTATTTGTGAATGTTTACAGCAACTTTGTTTACAAAAGTCAAAACCTGCGAACAGCTTAGGTATTCATCAACAGTTGAACAGGATAAACAAACTGTGGTATACACATATGATGGAATACTGTTCAGCTGTAAAAGAAAGGAACTACTTAAATATCCAACATTGTGGGTGAATCACAAAAACACTGCTAAATAAAGGAAGCAAAAAAAAAAAAAACAAAACCCAGGCACTGCATGATTCCATTTATGTGAGTTTCAAGAACAAGCAGATCTAATCTGTGATTTTAGAAAGCAGAACAGTGGTTGCTTCTGGGGTCAGGACAGACTAAAGCACAAGGAAGCTTTCTGGGGTGATAAGGATATTGTGGGTCATGACAGAGGTTTACACTAGTGTATGTATTTGTCAGAACTGATCAGATGGTACCGTTCAGATGGGTGCATTTCACTATATGTAAATTATACCTTGATGACTGAAACAACAATATCATCAGTAATAATATAATAATGAAACCACCCATGGTATCCTTTGGGAAATCATTCACTTATTCCCCACATACTGTTGCACCCTTCATGGTGCCTATTATCAAGTCTAGGGCATAGTTTTGATTCTTTTACATATATTCACATGTGTTGAAGGACTGTCCCGAACTAGTAGTGTCTATATATCTATTTGTCCCTCCACCCTCTCCCTCTCCCCTTTTCTCTTTCCCTCACTTCCGTTCCTTTTGCAATTCCAAGCAATTCTTTCCAGTTGGGTGTAGGTCTTCCAAAACCTCTGGGGTAAAGCTGTATGATGTCTCTGCTTTTCTCAGAGCAGAGCAAACCGACTTTGTTGCGAGCTTTGTCTGTGTGTGGGTCCCCTCACCCAGCCTGTGCCAAAGGCAAGGACGAGTTCTCCCCAAGGACCCCATGGGCTGAGTAACAACGAGGGTGGCCCTGCAGCAACCCCTGTCATATGCTTTGTCAATGACTTTTTTCAAATTGCGGCCACTGTGCAGGCTGAGACAGCTACTGGTACCCACCACAGGGACCAAACCCAAGAAGACAGAAAACTTGTCTCTTGCAAAAAAAAAATAACAGCTTAAGAAACTGATGTTGACAGGTCTCCCTTTCTCTCCTCCCTGCCCCCCCCAACCCGTGTGCTCTGAGCCCAACTCCTCACTCCCACCTTCAGAGGAAGCAGATTTAATACCCACGCTGAGAGAAGATGTTCTGTTATTTTTCATGGGAAATTAAACCCGACCCTGCTGTCAGTGAGCTCATGCCCAGGAAGGATGGATGGCCCAGGGTGCAGTGCTTAACCCCAGCTCAGAGCACGTCACCTGGCTGGGGGCCAGCCATGACGTCACCTGCCACTGGGCGGGGGTGGGGACGGCAGGACAGGTTGGAGAGGCTTCATCTGGGTGATGGATGGTGGCGAGGCCAGCCTCGGTGTCACCTGTAACGGTTCGCCTCTGACACCAGCTCGGACCCACGCATCCAGGGGACACTCAGGCTGCTCCTGTCTCTTTCAGCTCCCAACGCTACCTCGTGTCCTGCGGAGGAGAGCTGGTGGTCAGGGCTGGTGATCGTCATCGCGGTATGCTGTGCCTCCTTGCTATTTCTCACTGTGCTTGTCATCATCTGCTACAAAGCCATCAAGAGGTGAGTGTTCACCCAGCGCTGGAGCCAGACAGGACCCTAACTGGGCTCAGGGCTCCTCCACCCACCTCCATTCGGTTTTGTTTTTTAATAATAAAAATCATTAAGCATTTAAGAAGCAGAAAGAATGTACAAAGAACACCCACCTACCTTCACCCTGATTCAACAGTTATCAAGATTTGGCTAATATTTACTGTTTCCTGTTCCTTGTATCTTTTTCTTTGCTAAAGTATTTTAAAGTTGATCTCAGATATTATCCCCCCCATCATTTTAGGGGGTTCTACGAGCATTTGATGAGCACTGATTATACGTCAGGCTGGAGGCAGGATAAAGCTACTCTACCTGTAAGTGGCAGGCCCCGCTGCCAGGGGCTCACTCCAGGCCTGGGAGGATGGAAATAATTCTTGTAGGGTGGGTGATGAATCCCCTGGAGGGGGTACCATGCTGGTTTGGAGCCGGAACTGGGTATTGGAATCTGATCGAAATTCAGACTCCAGTTCAAGCTGTGTGACCAGGAGGAAATCACCTTTCTGGCCCTCAGTTTCCCTATCAGTAAAACGGGGAAAAGAATAATTATCTTGCCCCCAGGGAGTGGTGAGATGCCCTCTGTGAATGGTCTGCACAATATGTATACTCAGCAGTGCCTGGTATAAGTGCATGCTCACCAAGAGCTGCACCAGCTTTCACTGTTTCATAGTGAAAGATAGAAAAAGGATGACAGAGAAGGGAGCAAGGTTCTCTTGGGAGAAGGAGAAGTAGAGATGCCTCAGAGAAGGTCTTCTGTAAATGCTTTGGCCAACTGATGTGAAGAGCTGACCCACTGGAAAAAGACACTGATGCTGGAAAGATTGAGGGCAGGAGGAGAAGGCAGCGGTAGAGGATGAGATGGTTAGATACCATCACCAAGTCAATGGACATGAGTTTGAGCAAACTCTGGGAGATACTGAAGGACAGGGAAGCCTGGCATGCTGCAGTTCATGAGGTCCCAAAGTCAGAGACAAAATAGTGACTGAACAACAACAAGGCTGGGTTTTGAAGGATGAATAGGAGTGCTCCCAAAGGGTCATGAATGACCCAAACAGCATATTATCTTTCAGTAACACTTGGAAGGAAAGTTATGACCAACCTAGATAGCATATTAAAAAGCAGAGACATTACTTTGCCAACAAAGGTCCACCTGGTCAAGGCTATGGTTTTTCCAGTGGTCATGTATGGATGTGAGAGTTGGACTGTAAAGAAAGCTGAGCACCGAAGAATTGATGCTTTTGAACTGTGGTGTTGGAGAAGACTCTTGAGAGTCCCTTGGACTGCAAGGATCTCCAACCAGTCCATTCTAAAGGAGATCAGTCCTGAGTGTTCATTGGAAGGACTGATGCTGAAGCTGAAACTCCAGTACTTTGGTCACCTCATGCGAAGAGTTGACTCATTGAAAAAGACCCTGATGATGGGAGGGATTGGGAGCAGGAGGAGAAGGGGACGACAGAGGATGAGATGGCTGGATAGCATCACCGACTCGATGGGAATGAGTTTGAGTAAACTCCGGGAGTTGGTGATGACAGGGAGGCCTGGCGTGCTGCGATTCATGGGGTCACAAAGAGTCGGACACGACTGAGCGACTGAACTGAACTGAACTGAACACTTGCTGTTATTTCTGTTAACTACCATCTCGCTTTGATGCTTTTGAACTGTGGTGTTGGAGAAGACTCTTGAGAGTCCCTTGGACATCAGGGAGGTCAAACCAGTCAAGCCTAAAGGAAATCAATCCTGAATATTCATTGAAAGGACTGATGCTGAAGCTAAAGCTCCAGTACTTTGGCCACCTGATGCAAAGAAGTGACTCATTTGAAAAGACCCTGATGCTGGGAAAGATTGAAGGCAGGAGGAGAAGGGGACGACCGAGGATAAGATGATTGGATGGCATCACCAACTCAATGGACATGGGTTTGAGCAAACTCTGGGAGATGGTGAAGGACAGGGAAGCCTGACGTACTGCAGTCCACGACTGAGCGACTGAACAACACCACCATCTCACTTTGCCTTTCAAACAAGCAGGCACCTTGTTGAGTTGGGGTCTGAAGCTCCACGTTGTTATTGTCGAGGCCTGAGGCCGCAGTTTGACATCCCCTGCCGTTACAACACAGTAGCTCTGGCCCCACCCCTCAATTTCCAGTTCTCAGCCTCCTCCCAAACAACGGCCTCCCTGGCCTTGGGGGATGTTCAGTCACTCAGTGGGTCAGACTCTTCGCAACCCCATGGACTGCAGCACGCCGGGCTTTGGGGGACGTTAGGGGACAATATAATCAAAAGAGGAACAGTAATGTTGCTTGCAAAACACCAGAGGATTTGTTAATATGTTTTTAAGAAAGGTTTTTTTTTTTTAATTCCCTAAGGCCCAAAGTTAGAGGATCTCTATTGAGCAATCATAAGACCAAAGTTATTTAAACTTTGCCCTTTTAATCAGTTGTTCTATGTGATTTCACTTTAATAATTCAAAAGCGGAAAGAGTAAACCATTAAGTTGAAAGTCTTAAAACCTGCATATGGTCAGGCACCCAGGGAAGAAGGGCCTCATTAGGCCAACAGCCGGGACCAGGCAGGAGAGGCAGGAGTCACGTGAACCCTGATGTGGATGAAAAATCGTTTCAGCTGAGAGCCTGCTGCAGCGGGAGAAGGATTTTAAGAAGCAGAGCAGGGCAGGCATTCAAAAGCACCAGGAAGCCCCTGTGATGGGGGTGGGATGGGGAAATGGGGGGCGTGGGGGGGTTGGAGATAAGGGTAGACGGAGGCTGGAGGAAGCCCCAAGCCCGAAAGGAGAAGTGGTTGTCCAACCAGGTGTAGCCGCTGCTGGCCCATGCATGATTCAGTAGACACAGGGAGCCATTGACGGTTTTAGGGAAAGTGTTCAAGATCCACCGGGGCACGTCAGAGAGTGGGGACACTGCCAGAGAGTGGGGGCACTAGTCCCCTCAAAGACCCCCTTCCCTCAGAGACAGGCTGCATCACTTTTTTTTTTTTAAGATTCCTTTCTTCCCGTACAGACCGTTACAGAGCAGTGCGTAGAGGTCCCTATGCTATACAGTAGGTCCCTGCATGCTAAGGCGCTTCAGTCGTGTCCGACTCTTTGCCACCTTATGGGCTATGGCCTGCCAGGCTCCTCTGTCCATGGGATTCTCCAGGCAAGAATACTGGAGTGGGTTGCCATGCCCTCCTCCAGGGGATCTTCTTGACCCAGGGATCAAACCCACGTCTCTTACTGGCACGTGGGCTCTTTACCACTATCGCCACCTACAAAGCTCTGTAGGTCCTTATTAGTTATCGATTAACATTTTTTCTATAGAAGTGTGTATAATGTCGATCCCAGTCTTCCAATTTATCACTCCAACCCACCTCCTGGTGGGTTTCCCTGGTGGCTCAGTGGTAAGTAATCCACCGGCCAATGTAAGAGAAGCAGGTTCGATCCCTGGGTCAGGAAGATCCCCTGGAGAAGGAAATGGCAACCCACTCCAGTATTCTTGCCTGGAAAATCCTATGGACAGAGAAGGCTGGCAGGCTACAGTCCATGGAGTTGAAAAAGAGTCAGACACGACTTAAGCGACTGAGCACAAACTTATTTGAAAGATGAGGCATGCATCTTTTAGAATTATGGTTTCAAAATGCATCATCTTTTTAATAAACTGAGGCTCTTCCAAAAGATACGGTTCTGCCTCCTCTCTGCTCCAAACCTCTCCTGAAGAAACGGGCTACCTGCTCCAACAGCAGGAGGGCTGGGCGAACCTAACAGGTGAAGCAGCTCACTTGGATGTCTCCGCTCTGTGGCGTGTCCGCCGCGTCTGTCCTGCCGGGCTTTGCTTCCACGGAGCTGGGGGACTCCGGGAAGGCAAGGGAAGGTATCACCCCACCTCCCATCAGAGCACCAGAGGAGCCTCCCTCGTCTCCTTCCACCGGCTCTGGGGTCTTGGTTCCTGAGCCTGTCAGCCGCCTGGAAAGACAGACAACTCACCTCAGACGGCTTAGTGGATCCCTCCCGAAGCGTGGATGGGACGCCTTCCGGGGTGTGGGCGTCAATTCCTCCCCAGGGGTGTGGGCAGGGCTCCAGCCAAAGGAATGGGCGGAGCTCCCTCCAGGGGCTTGGGCAGATCCTGAGAACAATAGAATTCTTGAAGCATTTCACGAATAACAGAGGTGCAAGCTGTTAGCACCCCCAGGACAGAGGATGGGTGCAGTACCAGGGAAACCTACAGGGCCTGGAGACTCAAAAGAGGGGCTAATCAGCAGGACCTGTGGTTGGAACTGCTGGAGATGCAGCCCTGAAAAACAAGTGGGTGGAGAAAACTCCCCAACCTTTCTCCACACTCCCAGCTATCCTGAGGTGCCTCCCATTGGCTGAAACAGGGGAGCCCAGGAGACACCAGCAAAGGTGTCAGCACCCCAGCCCATGTAGTAAATGGAGCACAGTCCCTTTTCTGCCTTGGCGCCAAAATCTGCATCCTCTTCTGGGGTAAGACCCAGCCCTCTGCCAGTCCAGATCCTCGCGGTCCAGAGAAGGCATCCCTGGCCCCCAAAGATGGATAATCAGTGTCAGGAGTGGGTGCTACTCAGGCACCCGAGTGGCCAATGGAGGCAACAATAGAGTCTGGTTTTCCCAGAACCCTCCTGGAAGGTAGCTTGACCTGGAGAAGATGGATCAGCCCCTTGTGGGCTGCGGAAGAAGGAGGCAGCAGAAGTTATACCCAGTGCAGGACAGCAAACGTCCCCTCCCCACTCCCCCAGCTGACCTCTGAAAGAGATAGCCTGGTCAAGCAGCTGTCTGTGTGCATTTCTCTCCAGAGTAAATGGAGGATTTCTTCCTCTCAATCAATTCTCTTTGGTTAATAATTCATCTGAAACATGCCTTCTCTCTCAGGAAACAAAAGCATTGCATGTCACTGTGAAACCATTAGAAGGGAAATTCAGTGATAAACCCTGCTTTCTTTAAAAAAAACAACAACAACAAAAAAAACCCTC